CATCTGTGATTTACTAAATTATTCTCCTTACTTGAATGCCTTTAGTTTTCCCCTTTTTGTCATTCTGAAACACTACCTTATGAAAACTTAACCCAGCCACTTTTCTACCATTTGACATTCTCTAAGGGTTTATGCTACCTTTTTTTAATGGTTCATATCCTTGGCAAGGGATGAGAAAAAGAAAAACATCTTATCTCATTTGTATACCTTTTATCAGTCTTTTAAAATCAGTGACCTTTATCTGCTGTTTTACTGAAGACTGATTCTTTTTTGCTTTTCCCAGAAAAAATGGACAAAGGACCATTACCTTTTTATATCCCCTCACTCTCCCAGAACTAAAGGTACAAATTTAAATGGCTAGCCTATAGCTTAGCACCTAGCAAATATTTTCTAAAGAATATCTCTGAAGATTTTGATGAATATTTTTCTTAAATTTTGAAAGTGTATGTTGTTTATATCTTGGTTTTGGTTTTGGTTGTACTGGGGATTGAACCCAGGGCCTCTATCTAGATCGCTAATGTAGTAACAACAGAAAAATAGCAGATCATTTTCTTTTCCTTTCCTTTCTTTTCTTTTCTTTTTTTGGGTGGAGGGGGCCACCAAAAGCTGGAAAAATGATGGCTGTTAAGTGTGCATTTCGCAGTGATACTTATACAGTACTAACTCAATAATGTTAAGGCTAAGAATGAACAATTCAAGTAGCATTAGTTAATGAGATTTTAAAAGAAATCATGCAGACTTTCAGAAGCTACTTATACACTTGGATTCATCATTGACTGCCACAGTGAAGATGAAGGTTTGAAGAGTAGTAGCTACTTGTAGGGATGTAGAAATTATGATCTTATAACAGACAATTTAATTCTGAATTTCATGGTCATCTTGCATAGTGATTAGTCCTGTTTTTGTGGTATCACTGATCTCTTCTATATTACTGACTCCCCAGTGCCTACATGTAATTGCTATAGCTCTCTCATACTTTAATCCTGCAACTTTAACCCATTGCTAAATACTTCTATTGATGACCTGTCATCTCAGACCTAGCATTTGTCATGTACTATATTGTATAATAGCATGTGTGTATAATTGTGTTACCTTCCCAAGTGGAGTATCAAGTTTTTGTGTAAGGCCAGTGAGTTATACACTTCTTTGACCTCTGTAGATATTTTAGTCCTCTGTGTGTAATAGCTCAAATATATGTGATTTCAATAGTTTTGGTAACTTTTAAGTTAAAGCCTAAACTTTTAAAAGCTTAAAAATTGTCCAGAGTTCAATATAGTTGTGAGGTACACAGAACAAAAAAACAACGAAAAGGTACTGCTTTATACTCCATAAATATTGTTATGGTTTATATCCAGGTGTTCCTCCAAAGCCTTAAGCACTCATAGCTGGGGCTTTGGGGAGATGATTGGATCATGGCGGTCATGATACTCACCAGTGGATTAGTCCATTGATGAGTTTATAGCTGATTGTGATGTTGGGAGGTGAAGCCTGGTCTGGAAGAGGTGGATTACTGGAGGTGTATCCTGGAAGGATGTATCTCCTTCCCTCCTCTCTTGATTACTCTCTGCTTCCTGTATGCCATGCCCTGAACAGTTTTCCTGTTATAGCCCTCTGCCATGCCACCCTGCCTTGGAGCTAGCCATCTATGGGCTGAAACCTACAAAATGTGAGCCAAAATAAACCTTTCCTCCTGTAAGTCTTGGGTGTTGAGTATTGTGTCTCAGTGATGAGAATATAACTAAGACAGATTTTGGTAACAGAGAAAAGGGGCCATTGTTGTGATGCTGCCTGACCATGTGGTTCAGAAGCCTTTGGAACTGGCTTACAGGAGGAGTTTGGAAATGCCACCTGGAGAAGTAACCCTAGAATGCTGTGAGCTGAGCTTGATGGGAGATTCTGGTTGGAACGTAGAGGACCAGAATGTTGACAGTAATGCAGTCAATAAAGACCAAGCATAAGAGATATCAGTTGGGATGGACTCCATTGGCAGTTGGACTCCAGACCATGTGTGTTCTGTTCTGGCAGAAAATTTGTGTGTATTTTGCGTATACACACAAATTTTCTGAGACTTTTATTTTCTGAGACTTTTTTTTTTTAAATACACACAAAAGTCCTGAGACTTTTTGGGAAACTGAGATTAAAAGCGGCAGACTAATCTGGTGGAGGGAATTTTAAGGGAGCTAAATATTCAGGCTGTGGTGGGTATTGACTGTTGGGGGATTTTAGCTAGCTCTACATTGAGAATTAAGAGCAAACAGCCCAGCAGAATGATTTAAAAAGTTTTGAGTTTGGCCAGAAAGGAAGCTCCTGTATAGTTGGGGACTATAAGGATGGAGCAGAGGAGAGCTTGGTTGCTGAAATGATTAACATTGAAAAGAAGCCAAGTGCCTTGGATGTGACCAATACATAAAATGCCTTCAGAGAATGTGAGGAACCAGGAAAGCCCTACCCTTTACAGGCTCAAAATTGCCAAGGTGAAAGACTTGATTTGTGAAGAGAGCCCCAGGCCACCATGCTCCACAATGGTGGCAGCCTAGGGTTTGGGAATTGATTCCCTGGGATTCAGTTCACCGTGTTCAGCCATCCAGGCACTCAGAGAGAGGCCTCTGCAACTATCAACAAGATGTAAAAGGGCTCAGTTACTGCTTCAGCTGACATCAAAACTTGCTGTTATCCTTGTGATGCTGATTTTATGTGCATGCAGAATGCAAGAGTTATGGTGTCAGGGAGACTTCCTTTCAGATTTCAGAAGAAGGCTTGGGAGGCCGGGCAGTGTGCCCCAGAGAGGGCAGTATATGAAGCTGTGAGAGTGAAGCTGAAAGTGCAGTGAGGACCCCAGGATGTTGGAAAAGCCAAGAACATGGGCCCTCTGAGTAAGCTGCAAGGAGAGAGCAAACCTGGCCAAAGAGAGAAGCCACCACTGGTAATGCTGTAGAGTGGGGCTGCCCAAGCCCTTTGGAGTTCACGTCTCACCACAGATTGCCCCAAGTGCTGGACAAGGAACTATGGGATTTAATGTTTGCCCTGCTGGATTTTGGTCTTGCTTTGTCTCATTCCTTTCTATCCCCCTGTTTGTACTTTTTCAAATGGGAATGTTTACCCTGTGCCTTTGAATGTCAGCAGTGTTTTAACTTTCTTTACATTTTCCAGGGGCTCACAGCTAAGAGTTTGCTTTAAATATCAGAGATGGGCTAAATACATTTTGCATAAAGCAGTTCACATGAGTTTTTGTGAAGCTAGGGGTGGAATGTTACGTTTTATGTTTAGATGTCCTTCCAAATCCTCATGCATTCATAGATGGGGCTTTTGGGAGGTGATTGGATCATGGGGCTTGATGCTTATCAGTGGATCAGTCCACTGACTAGTTTATAGCTGGATGTGATGTTTGGAGGTTAGGTATGGTCTGAGGAGGTGAGTCACTGTGGGCATGACCTGATCTCCCTCCCTCCCCCTCCCTTGATCTTTCTCTCTGCTTCTGGCCATCATACCATGAGCAGTTCCTTCTCTGCCATGCTCCTCAGCCACACTGCCTTGCCTTGGAGCCAGCTGACTGGATTGAAACCTCTACAAACTGTGAGCTAAAATAAACCTTTCCTACTTAGAGTTGTAGATGTCAGGTATTGTGTCTCAATGACAAAGTAACCAAGACAAACATGGAACCTGTATCTTTGAAAGTTGTTGTGTGCTCCTTTAGAAGAAAAGGTCCTACTTGGTAATTAATATCTTAAGTACATTTATTTAAATTACAGTCCATTCTAATTTTTGGAGATGATGGCTATGCTCCTCACTTTAATTGTGGTTGTAGATTGACAGGTACATGCATATGTCCAAATACATCAACTTGCATATGTGGGGTTTTGTTTATCAAATATATATCAATAAGGCTTTTAAAAATCAAATCCACTAGTAGGCAATATAAAATGGCATGTATTGGTGTTTGTCTCATTTTGACCTGATTTGATTTTGTGTTAGGCTTGTTTTTATTTCCTCTTTGTCTACACTTCATATTCTGTTCTTTGAACTTTCTTTTATAATCTTTCTGATCTTTAAAGTGTTTTATATCAACAGCATATTTTAATTGTCTTGAGATTAATATGAACTTAACCATGATTTATTTGTCTTTAGGTTGGCAGTATATCTAGTGCCATGGCAAAAAGCCAGTTAGGGGCAGATCACTCAGGTCTAGAGACCAGTACTTCTTTGTCATTATGCTCTGTGGGCCCTGGTGACATTGGCACTATAAATTAAAACTTTAGTGACAATTATCTCTTAGGTAGCATTTTAACAAATCTTGATTTTAACTCATCATGGTGGTACATGCCTCTAATCCCAGCTCTCTGGGAAACTGAGGCAGAAAGAACACAAGTTCTAGCCCAGACTGGGCAACTTAGTGACTTGGTGACTTAGTAAGAACCCGTCTCAAAAATAAATCAGACACAAGCTTAAATATTGCAAGATTTTTCTTATATGAGAAACCCAAAATATAAATAAAGAATAAAATAAAAGATAGATTATAAGACATAGGGAGATAGTTTTGTTCAAATGGGAAGGGGATCAAGAGATGGAGGGAGGCCAGAAGGAGGGGAGGGAAAGGGGATAAGAAAAAGAATTGAGATGGGTTATCTACATGTACCAACTCCCCACAAGGAATGTAATCATTATGTAATATAACATGTACTAATAAAAAATAAAAGCTTAAAAAAAGAAGGCTTACTTCAGTGCAAAAGCTCTGGGTTCCAATCTCCAGTACTACAAAAAGTCTTGATGTTTATTTTAAGCTCTTGGAAAACATCATTTATTGAATAAGTGAATATATCCAAAGAATATATTGATGCTGCTTTTTATAAAATAGGGATGGGTCAATTAATATCCTCTGATTCTGTATTTGCCATTAGTTTTAAAGTAACTTTTAATCAATGTGTGAAATGTATTGTGGTATTTAAAATGTATTTTTAAAAATTTTGCTTTCCCTAACCTTTTCTCTCCTTATTTTTATAAAGTTGCCAGGCAGTGACATTGCCAGTGGGAGTGATGTACTTTCTGATGTCATACCAAGTATACCAAGTTCACCTTGCCTGCTTCCTAAAAAGAAAAACAAGCACCAGAATTTAGATGAGCTTCCTTGGAGTGCAATGACAAATGATGAGCAGGTAAAGATGTCTACATTCTTAATTAAAATCATCTATGTGGGGCTGAGGATGTAGCTCAGTGATAGAGCATTTGTCTAGCATATTCAAACCCCAACACCCCCCCAACCAAAAAGGAATGTGTGAATACATGAAGCACATTTTATTACCTATTTAAATCCACTCAGTAAATGTGGATTGCTTATAGTAATTCTATAAGCAAACTGTAACTTTTTCAGGAAACAGATAACAATGTTAAGTGCTTCTGTAAATAAAACATCATAATTTACAAACTAAAAGATTAGAGGTTTCACCATTGACATTTTGTTGTAACTTTTCATCACATAGGTGGAATATATTGAGTATCTGAGTCGTAAAGTCAGTACTGAGATGGGTCTTCGGGAGCAACTTGATATTATTAAAATCATTGATCCTTCTGCTCAAATCTCCCCTACAGACAGTGAGTTTATTATTGAACTTAACTGTCTCACAGATGAAAAACTAAAGCAGGTATGTAAAGTAAATACAGATTGTATACCTATTGAAAAATAGCTGTAACTTATAAAATGTAAACTTGAATGATATGTACCTCCATAGAGAATTAGAGTAAAATCACTTTTGTGAAATAATATTTGAAAAAATGACGGGCCTGGGGATATAACTCAGTGGTAGAACATTTACCTCACATCCATGAGGCCCTAGGTTTGCGTACCAACAACACAAAAAAGGAAGGAAGGGAAGGGAGGAGAAGGGAGGGGAGGGGAGGGAGGGGAGGGAGGAAAATGAAGGTAATATTTGAGAATTCATTGTTTTAAGAGTTTTTCCTTTTTGGTCAATGTGGATCTAGAACCTGATCTTCAGTTGTATAGGCTTTGAAACTTAATCACTTAAGGAATGGTTAAACTAAGATAACAGATTTATTCTGATGAACTTAACAAGAGATGAATTGACAGAATTGAAGTACTGTACTAATAAATTAGAACTATATTTTTATAAACATCTGAGGTTATTTTATTAGTCTTATGAAGTACTTGAGGCTGGCTAGGGTAAATCCTAATGAATTCTCCCTCTGCCATTCTGAAATATGCATTTCTGATATTTTCTAAATATGGTCTTTGCTGCTATTTTTTTCTTGGTACATACCTAAATGAGTACTTAGGATTTTATGTTCTACTTTAGCTTTGTTTTACATTTATTATTTATGAAAATTTTCTCTAATTTCAGTATTTTTCTCAACATACATAGACTGTAGTTTTCTCCATGTTAGCCCATTTTTCATTAATGTGGTATGTTGATGCTTTGCATTTGAAGACAGGTACCATTAGCTCCTAATTAAAATTTAGGAAAAATGTCCAATCATAGATATAATTACTAATTTACTTGAATCATCTTAAGTAGAGACTTCTCACAAATACTTAATTTCAACTATTTTATTTTGTTGATAGCTTTTATTTCCACATGTTCTTTTCTTATAGTCTTAAATTTTGAAGGTTCTTTGGTGCTCGTTTCTGAATTTAGATTTCTCTGGCCTTTCTATTCTACCTTATTTATACATCTACATCATTTTGACACAATCTTTCAGGTTAAGGACAAGTTTTTTTTTCTCCAGCACTTTAAGGCTAGAACATCGAGGTACAACAGTAACCAGTTTTTGTCCACGTGTCCCAAGGTCAGAAATTATATCAAGGAGCATAGCCTTCGCCAGCGGCCTGCAAGAGAGGCCTGGAAGAGAAGCAACTTTAGTTGTACAAGCACCAGTGGAGTGAGTGGTGCCAGTGCCAGTGCCAGCAGTAGCAGTGCCAGCATGGTCAGCTCTGCTAGCAGCAGTGGGTCCAGTGTTGGAAACTCTGCTTCAAACTCCAGTGCCAACATGAGTCGAGCACACAGTGACAGCAACCTGTCTGCAAGTGCAGCAGAGCGGATTCGGGATTCAAAAGTAAAATGTCTAATTAATATAAAACTTTATCTTTCAGTATTAATATTTGTACTCTTTCATTTAAATTTCTTGAAGAATAAAAATTGTCCTATTTAGAAGCCTGTGGGTGTTGGGTTTAATTGAACAAGCAGGATGCTGTGCTGATGAACAAAGTACTCTAGGCTGAGAGCTTTTTTTTGTTTGTTTGGTTTTTTTTTAAGGCTGAGAGCTTTGAAGTACTTTTGACCCACAACAATATTGCATTCAGTTTTATCTTATTTTTGTGTCTGTTTTAATGAGTAATTCTCAAGATAGCAATACTGACTGCAACTCACTACTAGGTGAATCTCACTATGTTGCCGATGTTGCTGTCTATTAGCTCCTAAAAGTGTTGTGGGTCTTTTGTCTCTTAAGTGTTTTCTGGATGTTTTAATCTTGAATACCACTTCTTAGCTAATTTAGAATGTAATAATGCATTCTGTAATTTATGTCTACTTTTTTTCACAGTTTAAAAAATATTCTGTATAATATTGTAGGGTACTTTTTTTAAAAAGCAGTTATAAGTGTATATAGAACAGTCCAGTTCCTTGTATTGGCACAGTCTGGAGCGAATTTAAAGAGGAAAAGAGAACCTCTTTGGGAACTCAGTAGTTCTTTGAGGATACACAGTGATTCCTTCCCTGTGTCTTAGTGAAGTAGCAGAAGCATAGCCAGCTTTGTTGGTTGCCAAGGGATTTCTCTGGATATGTGCTCATTCCTCAGTGCACCAGTGATGAAGACTGAAGTATCCTCTAGGATTCTAATTAAAAAGGCATGCCTTTTTCTAAATCATTTTAAAATTGCTAGTACTGTTGGGTACTAAAATAAGTATTAGAGATTTGGGCAATATCTTCTAAATTTTGTATTCCATATTATTCCCTTAAATTTATGTTCTCTATGCATTGACATCAGTGTACCTTAATTTGATTTAAAATAAGACTTCAGTGGGATCAGATATTCATGGGTAGTTAAAATGATTGTTCTTGGTCAGAAGAATCATTGATTAAATATCATAAAAATAGAATCTTAATCATTTTCAAATTAAAGTTAATTACTCACTTATTATAAGAATCATACTGTCGAAGAATTTGAACAGGTCTTAAAATTTACAAAATAGAGAATTTGATCCATAAGACACTTTGATGTAGATACAGCAAGAATAAGCTTTACTGATCTAGAACTTTTTACTTTGACAGAAGCGATCCAAGCAGCGGAAGTTACAGCAGAAAGCCTTCCGCAAGAGGCAGCTGAAGGAACAGAGGCAGGCCCGGAAGGAGAGGCTCAGTGGGCTCTTTCTCAATGAAGAGGTGCTGTCCTTGAAAGTGACTGAGGAAGACCATGAAGCAGATGTGGATGTTTTGATGTAATAAGAATAAATTTATCTCCGTTCTTTCTAAGCATTATTCTATCCTTATTGGTTTACATGCATCTTGACCAAAATTTTGGTTAGGGCTGTGCTGATGTACCATTAATTATTTAGGCCAGTGGTTCTCAGAGGACCTGCAACTTCAGCCTCACATGAAAAATTGTTAGGAGTGTGCACTCTTGGGACCCACTCTAAACCTAGTGAATCAGAAACACCAGGGGAGGGACCCAGCATTTGTATGTTAACCAGTGTCAGGTTATTCTGATGCACAATCTGGCTTAAGAACTACTAGTTTAAGTAAATGTTTTGGCTGTTGAAACTTTATGGTGATTAAGTGGGCGTTTTAAAAGACTAGTACTTCTACAGTTTAGGAGATATTCAAGGTACTGCTGACATATAATTTATTGTGTCAGTATGTGTGTGTGTGTGTGTAGAGATCATAATTCAGTTCTCTTCTTAATGTTACAGTTTCTTAGTTTGCTTTTTCTAAAGGGCCATAGAATAATTCTCACCTGGTAGAAATCTTTCTTGAGGTAGAGATTAGGGTTATATGTGTGCAAGGTATGGATTGCTATTTACAATAGTGCCTTCATTAGGTTTAGTTCTGTTTTCATTCATTATTAATTCTGTGGTATAAGAACAGGTAATAATCTTTTTTCAGTTCGATTTTTTAAAATTTATATAAAATCACTCCCTTCTGGAAGTGATGACTACTGAGAAAATAACATTAGTAGTTGATAAATTTTAGACTTGATGCTGTGTTGATTACTATTCAAATAGAGGAATCATTTAGGCAAAACAATTCTACTTTTCCATTTCTTTCTGAAATTTTAGGCTATAAATTATCTCAAAGACAGAAAATTTAAATCTCTCTCCCTCCTTCTCTCCCTCTGTCTCCCTCATTCTTTTTGAAGATCATTTTGTATCCAACACAGCTTTAATTTTTAAATATTTGGTATAACAAGTTTAGGGATGTGAACAGTTTAATGTTCAAAATTAACTGATGACACCCCTTAGCATTCTGCTAAACTGCTCTGTAAATTGCTCTAAGAATACAGAGCAGTGAGAGATACAGAAGACCTTAGCTGATGAGTTATTGATGAAACTCTGAATTTAAATGTGAAATTGTGGAGTTTCTTTAAATGTTTTTAGTTTGTTAATTTAGAAATATAGTGATTCCTTTTCTTCTACCACATGTCTTTGAACATTCACATAGGTTAAATAAGATGTAATTGATACTACTGACAATCAAGCTGCTTTCTGACATTCATAATTTTCTTTTTATTATGGGATAACATTAAGGAGGTACTCATAGTTCTGTAGAAAGAGTCGTAATCAATACTTTTTAAAATTCTAGAGTCCAGAAGTTACTTTTTATAAACATTAGCTTGTTAAAAATATTAACAGTTTAAACTTTTATTTGATAGATTTAAAGCTTGCTTACAATCAAGTATTTGGAAATTTTGATTTCATTTCAGTTCCTTGAAGGTTTAAGGACTGAAACTGAGGATAAAAATACATTGCAGCTTTGCCGAGGTTTGTGGTATGATTGTAACCTTTTGAAGACTATTAAATCCAGAATTTAAAATTTTACTAAAATAAAAGCATATGTATTTATGTTTTTCAGCTGGAGTAGGCTTTTTGACTTTCCTTCTATCCCCTCCTTGCTACTCCTGGCCAGCTCAGAGGGCTGAAAAGAGTTTGGGATAGACTCAGAGGAAGTCAGAAAGGATCAACCCAGTTTTCCCTTTTAAATATAGCAAGAATGAAGGGAGAGAAGAAAAGATACATCTGAATTCTCTACCTACTTTTAGAAAAAGCAAAATCCTGCAGAATGACTGCCTCTTCTCTTTATCTAGTCTTCAGGTAAAATAGGCCACATTTGGAGACTGCAGTGTAGCATTTTTATCTCTCACAAACGTGGAAACTGTTTACTTGACAGTGATCACTAAAAGGAAATCCTAAACAGGATCATGATGTACTGTAATTTAAAACCAACTCCTCTATTCTCCCAACAATCACATAGTCTTATTACCTTAGATTTAACTTAAGTCTCTATTGAATAAGTTTACCAAAGTGCCACAAAGCGGATTTTGAAGTTGGTAAAGGTTCTGTCATTCATAGAAGTGCATCATGAAATTTTGTGTAAATTTGGGGTCCACTATCTTTATAGTTCTATAAATTAGAGCCAGCCTATAAAACTGATTTGGAGGAGATTAAAAAATTCTTTTGGTTAAAAGAATAAAATCAAACAACTTGGGCTTGCTTATGCTCTAAGAGAGAGATTTAAGTCTTTATCCCTCTAGCAAAGAAACTAGCACAAAAACAAATAAAAACATCTTTTTTCTTCTGCTGTGATTTTTATGTGTATTGATACCTCATGTAGATAATTCAAGTTTAAATGATAATTTTTGGACTAAGTACTAATTTATTCAGTCTGATATCTCTCTGAGTTCCATTTGAAACAAATCCAACTCAGTATTTTTTCTTCTTAGATACAAACCCAAAATTAACCAATTAATGAAAAGGCAAGAGTTATTTGTTCTGTGTTGATTCCCATCTGTATAGAACTAACATTGGGGCAAATAAGTCTCTTCTTTAAAACTAAACCTTATTAACTGAAATCATGATAAAGTCCCCATAGTTTTATCTAGAGACCTTTTACTACAGGTCTTTTAATAGTATGTCAGTCCCTACCACAGCTTTTAAAAGTATGAACCTCAAGTTAAACAAACTGGCATGTATTTTTCTACAGTTTTGCAACTGATTAAAGGAAGGCAGTGTACTATAATGTGTACTGGGGTGTATATAAAGGGCTAGTTTGTTGGATCTCAACAAGAACTTAAAGTAACAGTAATACTTTTTTTAAAAAATGAAACTTGTTAAATGACAGCCATTTAGTCCAGTTCATTTGTCCCTTGGGTAAATTTGACACTGCTAAATTAATCCCAAAACTGACATATAAACAGTGACTCTTTATAGATTGGGTGGACACCTCATTTCATTTAGCTTTTAAAAGTGCTAAATTCCTTTCTAAAGGATAAATTACAAGAAACTATTATATAAAGGTATCTAGATTCTGGTGAGCTTTAATAATTGTGAAATTTATCAGATACCTTTGTATTTAAGCCAAAAATGTTAGTACATAAACAGTGTAGAAGTTTGGTTTGTTTTGTGTTTTCTAGTAGACTCTTTGTTCATGGTTTACTCTTTGTAGCCTCATGTGCCTTAATGGTGGTGAACTCTGTACTTTTTTTGTGATTATCAGGCTTTTCAAAACTCAAAAATAATCATTATGGTATAATTTGTTTTGTAGAATGCCTATGGTGTTTGGATATAAGTAAACAAAACCATTAAATTAAGAGTAATAGAGTATAGATCAAAAGAAAAACCTTCAGACCTTGAATTTCATTTGCATACCATTGCTTTAAAAATCTTTTAGCTCCTCAGGCTTCAAGAAGATGCTTGTTTGGAATTGATGGGGGGCTACTTAAAGTCACTTTATAGCTTGGGATATTTGATAGTAAAATTTCCAATTGCATTAAATAGTACTGTTGATGTTGAGTACACTGGCACTCAACATGTCTAATTAGAGGTAAATTTAATCCTGAAAAGAACTATTAGGAAATATTTGTCTACACATGTATTGTTGTAACTTTGGATTAGTTTTAAGTCAAATAAGCTAAGATAAATTTTATCTTAAAAATGAAGATATAGTAAAAGTGGGTAAGAACCACCCAAGAGATATTTTGAGCTAGGCATCTCTGTTAGCATAGGTATCTGGAACATATTCCTTTAGAGTCTTTGTCTTATTTCTTTGGAAAATAATTTACTTATTTGAAAAAGCATAAAAGTACCTTCTAACTGGCTATTAAGAGTAAGGAAGTTGCATGGTTTAGCTGAAGATCTGAATTGACTGAGTAAAATTTTATTTTCATTTTTTAAATATTAAAAGTGTTGTATTTGTTTTCAGCTCCCTCTCTATCTTTTAAAGTAAGGTTAAATGACACTTTAATTTAATGTTCATTTCAAACTCAGAAACATTGGTTGGTCTTCACTGAATTCAATAATACTTTTTCTTTATTGTCAAGTTCTGTTAAAACTTTGTTGTTAGTGGAGCCTGTGGAAATGTGTGTTTTTTTTGTGGTGAGGGATAGGGGTGAAAAAGGGAAAATTGCTTAATTATGCATATACATTTTGTCTATGTAAAGGAAATCATAAAATTAACCTATAAATGACAAGTTAATGCTTACTATTCTGAATTGTTTCAAGAAACAGTGGCCTGTAGCCATAACTTGTTTTGTAGAGCTGCTTACTCTTACAGAAGTGACCTGTTGGATTAAAATTGAGACTTTGGAATTAGGTTATCTAGCTGAGGCTTTTAAGAATGGAGTGAATAATGTCTGTTCATGTAGTGGGTGAATTTAATTTCCTGTGTACTTTTATTTACATATAAATACTATCCATTCTAAATCTTTGTGTTGGAAATCTAATAGGACTGTTGTCAAGAGATACTAACTATAAACATGAGTATAAGTAAAACATTTCAAAGATGGTTAAAAATTTCAAATCATAGGTTTTTTGTGTTTGTTTTTAGTTTTAAAGATTAGTTATGTAGCATCAATATCATAACCAAAGCAAGTAGGAAGTTGAGTGGTTTGGAGAATCTTCAAATAGTCTTTAATACTGTAATATATCAGATCATTAACCAGGATTGTTCCTGTATTCCTGCTAAATGTATTACTATATTAATGCACTTTTGTATATATAACTGTCTTCTGTACATTCTGTACTTAAAGTGTATATAAAGCCTGTTTTTCCTGAATTTGTGAGGGAATAACAATAGTTGCAACACAGTTTCTTTGTATTTTGAGTTCCTTCTTGTACTTGAAAGTAGTTGTTAAATCTATGTATGTATGGTTGTAATTAAAACTGGCTATGTGGCAGAGCTGTCTTTTGAACTGAATATCAGAATGAGAAGTGTCATTTTAGTTATTAAGAATTCTTATAATAGCATCCTTTTTATTGTTCTTTTGATGTACCTTGGGTCTCTATAAACCCTACTGCTGTTTATTTCTTTATACTTCTTAATCAGCTCCTTTCATACTTCATCCTAGACCATTCACCAACAGAGAAAAATAAACCTCTTTTCTTTTGCTCAGTTTGGTTAAGGCTCCATAAACTGTTGTGCTTTTTTGTTTGTTTTGCTTTGTTTTGTTTTTTGAGAGCCTCAGTTCCCATATGTCATTGGCAAAACATTTTTTCTGAAGAGATAAGATTTCAAGACATTTGCATTCATAATAACTCTAAACTAGGCATTATTTTTGTTGACAAAAAGAATTTATTTCCTTAAGATTCCTTAAAGACTGCTTTAAAATCTTTTTAAATTATGACTTTATGAAAGAAATATCTGGCAGCTTAATGGATACAGGATCAGTTCAGCTTTTCAGCAGCAACTTTATCTCTTGCCACCAGAGGGAGGTCTGTGGTTGTTCTCCCCTTTGAGAAAGGTCTTAGCTGCTTTTGTTTTTAATTTCAGAAGGTGGCATAGATCTTTTTCTCAAAATTCCTTTTGTGGTATTAAATACTTTCATTTAATAGTCAAAGGTAAGTTAATTAAGCTTGTTTAATGAAGCCAGTCTTATGCTTTTCTGTATTCTTCAATTTTTAATAAATGTAAGTTAGATATTAAGTGAAACGTGTGTGTAACGTGTGTTTCTTTCAGGTATTCTAGACTTGTACTGTCCTTATAGTAGCCACTAGCCACATGTAGCTATTTAAATGAATTAAATAAAATTTAAAATTTTGTTCCTTAGTCTATTAGCAGTGCTTCAAATGCTCAGTAGCCACATATGGCTGGCTAGAGGCCACTTTCTATATTTGGAAAGCACAGGATGTAAAATATTTCCATTATCACAGAGAGTTCTGGTGGATAGTGCTGCTTTAGAGGTTTGTAGTGGCCATTATCATTATTTTACTAGAGAATAGTATCAGTGGCTTCCCACAGTTAGCTGTTGTAGGTGGTATGAGAGAAAGCAAGCTGTGTCTCCTTTTCTGCTTCATTAAACCCACTGCCAAAGTTAGGAACTTGGTCATTTAATGGAGAAATTTCACAAATATTGATCATTTCATTTGACAGTGAAAAAGATTTACTGTTTGAATATTATGGGAAATTTGTTGCATTGTCTCAGGTGCGTTTGTTTGTTTTGGTGCTAGGGATTGAAACAGGGCCTAGTGGATGCTGGGCACAAGATTTACCATTGAGCTATACCTCAAGCCTCACAGTTTCCAGTTGTTACTGTAAAGAGTACTGCCATGCGGCTTTCTCTGTGTTCACCATTCGATGTAAAAACAGTTGTAAGTAATAATACCTACAACAAAGAAGTAAATACATACGTTTTTAGATTAAACTATGCTTACAAATAAGTAGAAGTGTGGATTTCAGAATCCTCCCTTAGGGTGTTTCTTCAGTAATTCTTGTAATGTGAAAAGAACATCACTACTTCTTGGGTCTGCCAGTCTTCCATCCTCTCACCATCAGTTTGGATCTCATGGTAAGTGGGATATTTATATTATATTATCCATGTTTCTTAGTAATAGGTTGTAATAATTTAGGTAGAATGTCACGTCCTTTCATAGTGAGTAAATAATGTTTTTAACATTCCACTCGTCACCAGGATCCTGTTAGACATTTTATATAGTTTTGTGTTTCTTATAAAAATAGCAGATAACTGGATTTATGTGTTTTCAACTTTGCAATACTAAAAATTCGAGTAGTGAGAACAGTAAAATGAATTCACATATACTTCAACTCTTCTCCACGTTATTCTTGTTTCTGTTACCCTCACCTAGCCACCTCCTCACCTCACCTTATGGTAGTACAGCTAACTCTAGGTGACAGAATTTTATTTTTAAATATTTCAGTATATGATTTTTAAAAGATAAGGATACTGTTGTTTTATATATAATACCATCGTACCTCCAAAGATCATACATCTAAAATACTTATTTAATATCAATTGTTGAGGCTGGGGATGTAGCTCAGTGGTTCTGTCACCTGTCTTGCAAGCACAAGGTCCCGAGTTTGATCCCCGGTACCAAAAAAAAAAACCCAATTGTTTAATATCAAAATCATAAGTTGTTATTAATTTCAAAATAATTCTATATTTTGCTGACACTATTATAAAATTATTTTTAATATTGCTTATAAGTCCTTATGGTGTTTTGAACACATATTCAGTGAAAGTAAGCTGTCTACTGCTTTTAGATAAAAATGTCCATATTTTGTTACTAAAGCCATGGAATAATTTGGGTAGCTGGTAGGAGGAATGGAAGCAAATGTTAAATTGAAGTAGGTACTTGCCGTCCCATCTATGGGTCCAGTAATTTTTTAAAGCCAAAATTGGCCTATGTGGTACAGTTTTCGATGTATTTATAAAAAATTCCGTGAGACCTATTTATTTCACTTATGTGTAAATACTGAATAGTTTCTCTAGTGTGAGAAACTGAAAGTGTAAATGAGGACTAAAAGGTATAATAGATAATGTGAAATAGGAAGAAAAGGGGCAAAGAGGAAGGGGAAATGGGAGGGGTAGGGGAAAAGAAAGAAGGGAATGGAATTAATATGAGAAAAAGAAAAAATGGAAATAAAGTCTTTGTAGGTAGGAAGGGATGGAGGGCTTGAAGGGAGGGCAGGGGAATGGGGAAAAAATAAGAACCAAGAGGGATTATGTAAAGGTGCAAATTTTCAATGATGCATGTCATATTGTATACCTTAAATGTACCAATATAATTAATAAAAAAATTCTGTGAGAATATTTTAGAGGCTATAAGAACAAATAAAATATTTTTATCCCTAGAAAATAAATGTTGTTTTTTTAACAGATGTAACTGGTATTGGCTTTTGTTTTGTGTTTTACCAAAGTTTGTACTTTATAGTTAAATTGTAGAGTTTGAGCATTTGAAGGAACTTTGGAGATTATCATGTTTAGTGGTTTCTAAACTCGAGCAGTGCATCAGAATTCCCAAGAGGAGGGAAAGGTGGAGGGGGTGAAGGGAGGACAGGGAATGGGGAAAAATAAGAACCAAGATACATCATGTACAGGTACAGGTACCCAGTGATAAATGTAAATGTATCGTATACCTAAAAATGTACCAATAAAAGAATTTAAGGAAAAAAAAAAGAATTACCAGGAGGCTTATGAAAGCACGGGTGATGGCCCCACCCTTAAAGTTTCTGAGATCCGTAGGTTTTGGGCTGGCTTGAGAAATTGCATTTTAAAGGACTTCCTATATGATGCTGGTGCTGCTTATCCAGTGAACAGTCTTTGAGAACTGTTGATGTAGTACAATCACTTTTTGCTTTCATTTTGTAAATGAAGAAATTTACACTAATAGAAAAGTGATTTCTTTGCCCAAGACTGGTTAGTATCACAGCCAAAGGGTTTTTTTGTTTTGTTTTGTTTTGTTTTTGGCCATGCCAGGGATTGAGTCCAGGGCCTCATGCATGCTACCATTGAGCCACAGGTCCACCCTGAAATCCAAATCTTGAGGGTACCTTATTCACATTCCAAGTCCAGTTCTTTTCCCATTACACATTTACTTTCTTTAGAATAGTTGGTTCTAAAAGCTTTTTAAAAAAAATTCCTCTTCATGTTTTGATTCTCTAAACAGTGGTAAATTTTTATCTCTCTAGATCAGAAGTTTCTAATCTAGAGTCTAGGAATAAAAATTGTTGGTCAAACTTTTGTTTGCTGATGTGTTTTCCTGGAGAAAGTTCAATGTGTTTTATCAAGGTCTCAAGTGACTTTCCTTTTCCCTAATGACTAAGACTGTCTGTCTAGGGCAACTTCGGTTTTTGGAAATAATTAAGGGTCATTTGATGGAGTCTGATGGAGTCTGGTGGTTAAAGTGGATGAGAGTCCTGGAGATTGCTGGGCTTGGTCAATATGGTGTGATTTTTAAGGTAATGAGATTTTATGTGTAGACTAACAAGTTGTTTTGATGTATATTAAAGAAAAGTTTCTGAATTATTTTGACAGTATGATTAGTCTGGGTGAATCATCATGTCATATAGTACAATTGTGTCTGAGCTCTGGCTTAGATTTAAAAATAGAGTTTTTATTCACAATCCTAACATACTCTAAGAAATGCCTTTTGCTAATATTTTTTAAATATTGGGTTAGATATTATAGAGTTGTTAATCAAATGATATATCAGAACTAGTTGATAAGCTGGAAGCTTGAGAACTATGTGCTTTTTTATTTTCATTATTAAACCATTCTCCTTATTTGCATATGAGAAGCGAGGCTAAGAGGGGTTAAGTGTTTCGGTCATATTGTTGAATGATGACAAATTAAGGATGAAAATCCAAGTTGCTGGAGCTGTAGACTAATTCTCTTTCTACTGTGTCACAATGCAACTACATTTCTTAGTGGATTGCACTTTTTTTTGGTACTAGATATTGAACTGAAGTCCATTGTACTGAGCTACATTCCCAGCCCTTTTTATTTTTATTTTTATTTTTATTTTGATACAGGGTCTTGCTAAGTCACTAAGTTGCCCAGGCTAGGCTAACTTGTGATCCTCCTTCTTCAACTTCCTTGAGTGTGGCAATTATAGGCATGCACCACTAATGCGTGGCAGTTTGCACACATGTACACCTTGTACTAAGAGATTAGAAGGAACCATTTTTAGATTTTGGTATATATTTGTACAACAATGGTTTTACAGGTGTGGTCCTAGCATTTAGACTTGCAAATCAACATCACCTGAGAACTTCTAAGGGGTACAAATTCTTGGGCCCTATCACAGACTTATTGAGTAATAAATTTGGGGAGTGGGTCACAGTCTGTTGTTCATTTGTACTGAATTTGGTTATTAAGTCTAGAAGACTTTTGGTGGAGTTCTTGGGATCTTCTATATAGAGTATCATGTCATCTGCAAATAGTGACAATTTGACTTCTTCATTTCCTATCTTTATT